CTCCGACCGTTAATAAAAGATATGTCAAATGAAAACCGGGCCTGTATTTTCGAAATAATCTAAGATGTCTTTCAGCTCGATGGAATTTCAGAAAGTCCAGTCGATCTCATTGGGTAAATGACAGCATAAAATGTTTTTATGCGATTCACTTCAACTTGAAGAACCATTCGAAAAGCCGAAACTTATTTAATAGTGAAAGTTAGATCGAGTTCTTTTCATGCTCATAAACATTGAAAGTTTCGCTTAATAAAAGAAGTTTGAAGCTCTCGCGAAACACAATTTTGGCTTGTCACCTTGTCAATATCGTCCAATTTATATCCAAACTTTTTCATTGAGTAATCTTGTGATCGAGTGTGGTTCGTCTGGGATACACTTTCATTATGTTCGGTTTTGGCAACTGGCATTTTTATGGCAATGGTAGAGTAGTTTTCTGTTGATAATAAATACTGTTGAAAGAGTTTTGTTTCATTAGTGGGCCGCCACATTTTTAATGTCGCAGAAGCAAAAGGAAAATAAATGAAGAATGTGCTGGAATATAAATGAAATTGAGCGAAATAAATCAAATATTTCGAGTTCGATTATTGATATATTATTATAACCTACTACTATCACCAAAGTTACATTTTCAAAAACACAACTAATCACCGTAATTTATTTGAACCTTACGTTATCTTTTAGAAGGCTTACATGATGATGTTAGTAGAATTATTGAGAAACCTAAACCGACCTCAACGGAGATTAACGAAAAATTGAGCGACAGCGAAAAAGCGCAAGAGTCATGGCTGATTTATTTGAGTACATATAACTCTAAGATTGTAGATAATTTCGTTTGTCAATTAAAATCCACGATGAAGTGCACACATTGTGGAGACTCATTTGTAACCTTCGATCCTTTCTGGGATTTGTCACTCCCCATACAACAAAGAACTGGCTAATTGAATTTATCACAGTGCTTGGATTTCTTCACAAGAGAGAAAACTTTGGATGGACATGAAAAACCGACGTGTTCAAGTTGCAAGGAAAGAAGAAAATGCACAAAGTCTCTATCGATCCATAAGTTTCCTCCTATTTTAGTAATTCATTTTAAAAGATTTTCTCGAACAGAAAGATTCAGAGGCAAGTTTAATGTTGCCATCGAATTTCCTCTAGATGGATTAGACATTAACAATTATGCAGCAGAAAATGTGACTCCTTGTCGTTATAATCAATATGCATTTTCGAATCACAGTGGATCTACCTACAGCGGACATTTTACAGCATTCTGCCGACATCCTTATACTGGCACGTGGCACGAATACAATGATTCACACGTGTCACCAATTTCACCAAAATCGCTTGTGAGTGGAGTTCACACCTTTGAGCGTTTTGAATTGTTATTTTTGTACTGTTGTTTTTAAAGTTAAAATGAATTAGTTATCTAAGATTTATGTTATATTATATTTTCACCTTACGATTATTGTACTCATTTCACTAGTTCGCTGTCGCTTTAATGAACTTCGAACTGTTCCGCATTCTTCGAAACTGTTCATATTCATGTCCCATTCGAACATTCTTCTATATTCTTAATTATTCTTTGCGTTTTTTGAGAATCCTGAAATCTGCTGAGGCGACATTTAACGTTTCGTCAGATCGTCACGTTCAGATTCATTTAGGAAAAAAGTCAGCGGCGAAACTGGTTCAGTGAACAATGAAAAAAGAAAAGACGCCAGAGTACTAAATGAAGAGGCTCAAATTGAAGTGTTGGGAACATTTGCTACAGAACCCACTAGCTCCTCACAATCAGTAGCAGAACAGACGGGAATGTCATACAAGACTTTAAGAGAAGCACTGAAAATAAATTTCAAGTTATTCACCAGCACGATAACATAACAATAGAATTTTGTGAAATCATAACCCATCGAATCAATGCTATCCCTATCCTTGGTTAAATATCTGTCTCAGGCTGGTATTCTTTGAAATGCCATAACTGATCCTTTATTCTTTGAAGGTGGTTTCGTGGTGTACTTCATTAGTTCGAACTTTCATTGTTTAATATAATATGCATTGATTTGAAATCCCTGAAAAAAATTAAAAAGATTATACCGAAAATAACAATTTTATTAAAAAAAAACTGAAATTACAAAGAGATAACATACAAGCAACAACCAAAAAAAGGAAATAATAATAAAAGCTGAAAATTGAAGAATTAATTAAAAAATATCATTGAAAAAAAAATACAAAATATAAAATTAAAAGATTCTAAACCAAGTTACTTCACGACGTTTCGATTGTTAGTATCCACGATCATCTTCGGGTGATAAGTGGATTTATTCCTCGGAGATCTGACTATTTATAGGTCATTCGAAAGATTTCACCTATCCACTCTTCCCTTTCTCCGCTTCATTGGCTTTAGTGGGAGACGACCGTTTGACGGGAGTTGGTCGTTTTTCTCTTGATTAGAGGTTTCCATATGTTACGTATCTCTACGCTAGCTTGACTAAATGCGTTGGTAGACAACATATACGCGGCTTCTTTGAATTTTCTCCTAAACCAGTGTTCCTCTTTGTGGATGATTTCAGCTTGAGCCCACTTGATGTTATGTTGATGAGTCCAAACATGATCTGCTATTCCGGATTTGCTGGTTTCTCCTCGCTGTGTGTGTTTCTTGTGCTTAGAAATGCGAACTTTCAATGTCTCTCAGTTTCACCGACGCCGATGTATGATTCTTGGCACTCGCAGGGTATCCGTTAAATGCAATGCAATGAGGCTGGTACGAATAGTGTTCCCAGATCTGAAGCAGGTCCTAATGTTATACTTGAGCCCAATCCTTCTCATCCTTTCCGATAATCCTCTGATGTAGGGAAGTACAAGTACTGGTTGTGGCGGCTTTTCTTCCTTGTGGAGCTTGTGGAGCTAATGCCTGTTCTACCATCACTCTGGAGTAACCATTTCGTTGAAGCTCGTTTTTGATGATGCCTAGTTCATTTTAGAGACCTTCCTTTGTATTACAGAGCCCGAAAACACGGTCTAGTAGAGTCTTGATGATTCCTTTCTTAGTCGATTGATGGTGGTTGGATTTCTGGTTCAAGTACTGTCCTGTGTGAGTGGGTTTTCGATTTACAGATGTTTTCCATTCAGTGTTGGTCCTCTCCACCAATACGTTTAAAAAAGGCAATTCGTTGTGGACTTCCTTCACCATTGTGAAAGTCATGGAAGGACCTACGTTGTTGATGTGCTTCAGGAATGTGTCTAGTTCTGCATTCCCAGGGTTCCATATTATGAAGGTGTGGTCTACGTATCTCAACCAGACTCGGGACTTCTTGCGGGCTTCTTCAATGGCCAGAGTTTCAAACCACTCCATTATATTGGCTATAACTGGTGAAAGTGGCGATCTCATTGGCAGTCCCTCATCTTCCGTAAAGAATTCGTCCTTCAGTCGGCCTTCAGCACAGCATCCTAGTAATTCCATGATTACTTGTATCGGTAGGTTTGTTCTATCTTTCAGGTCCCCATCTTGGGATAGCTTCTGCTGTATGATTTGAAGTGCTTCTTCGACAGGAACATTGGTGTAGAGGCTTTTCACGTCGAAACTGATCAGGTAATCCTGCTCTTTGACTTTGATTCCCCTTAGTAGTTCAACGAAATGCCTTGAATTTTTCCTTGTTTTACCTTGCAGTGGTTTAATTATTGGTAGTGAAAATCTGGATAAGTTCTGAGTGGCTGAATCTCTGGAGCTAATGATCGGTCTGAGCGGAACATCCTTTGTGTGGATTTTGGGTAGTCCATACAAGTGAGGGCGCTTACTGTAGTGCGAAAAATAGACTTGGTGTTTTTTCTTAGTCTGGTACAACTTCCTTTCAATTGATGCAGTAGAGTCTCTAACGATCTTCGTGTATTTTCCTTTCTCAAGCCCCTTTTTTCAGGGAATTCAAATCAATTTATATTATATTAAGCAATGGAAATACGAACTGATAAAATGGCCCTTTATTCACTTGAAAAACCTTGACTGGCAATCTGTACCTACATATGCTATCGATCCATTCATATCTCACGCAGACGGTAATTCACTGTTGCAGGAGGATCTGTTACATTTCCAGCAGGACGGTGCGTCATCGTTATATACGTCCCGTTCGACAGTGGTTGAACGATCGATTCCGGGATAGATGGATTGACAGAAAGGAAGCGATTGAGTAGCCTTCAAGATCACCTTCAAGAACTCTTTTATTTTTTTTCTTGGGGATATCTCAATTCTGCTGTTTATGAAACACAACCTGCTGATATTATTGAACTCAAAGTACTAATTACAGCAGCATGCCTCTAAACTCTTGGTGAAGTTTTCCTAAATCTTCGAGAGGAGTTCGAAAACACACTTCATCACTGTTCAGAGCAGAATCAGCAGCTTATCAGATAGAGCGTAAATAGATGGTTGAAATTATTTGTTTCTCGCAATTTGGCAGTTTTTTAAGTAAACGCAAAATAACCACCACATAAATGCTCACACGTGTATACTAGATTTATTCCTGTTAGTCAAGGATTGAAGCGACGCCACCTACTCTTCTAACCATCTCTCTTAATAGGAGAGTCAATTCAATGATATTTTTTTGAATACTAACCTAAAAACCATGCATCTCAATGCAGGAAAATCCTACTTCTGTAAGTTTCGAATGGTATTTTTCGAAATCTGCTCTTCAAAAAATAATGAACTGAGGTACCGTTGGAAAAGGAAATGAACACCCTTCAAAATGATGTGTCACTGTACCCCCCTTCTCGTTTGATATTCTAAGGGTACCATCTACTCCTCCTGGAGGGTTGAACCAAGAGGGTTAATAATATTTACTTAAGTGTCTTCCTTGAAAATGAAATTGACTTGAATTTTCGATTTTCTATATTATGTACTGAAAGGAAGGTATTGAGGGTGGGAAGTTTTCAAATTGTCATCCTGTATATTCATATATTAATATTAATTATTGATAACACTACTATTATATTATTCTCTCATTTATTTTATCTGAGAAGTAGATAAAATGGTACTTGAGAAATATACTTGAGCGACTAGGAAAAATTCGCATTGTATGCGACGACATAATGTTACTCAAACTTATTTTCTGTTTGTGGAGTTTTTCGGTAAGTTTTAAAATTAGAGTGAAACAATAATTTTACCCATAATAATTGTTTTGTTGATTAACTGTTTCTCCTCCTTTTGGAATGAATATCCGCATTATAAAAAAATTGCTTATGGCCAGTGATTTTATGACATGATGTTTCTTATGTCAACAAAACACAGTATTGCTCATTGAAAATTTAAAGGCAATGTCAACATTTCACATTCTATTTCTTTACAGTCTGTTCGAGGGCAAACATTCAAAAGTCTAACTCCCAGATTGAGAATAATTGGAGGAGATGAAGCTGTCCCGCATGCATTTCCCTACCAAGTAGGACTCCTGATCAATAATCGTGCACTTTGTGGAGCATCCCTTATTTCTGAAAATTATGTTTTGACGGCTGCTCATTGTGCCACCGAGTAAGTTGATTGAGAGCTGATTAATTTGGTTGATATAAATTTGATTATAGAAATGAAACCACATTGAAGAAACAAAAATAGAACTTCATCCTTTTCTAGAAGTCATTTCAGAACATAAATATTGTATGATAAGTGGCTTTTCAGGTCAGATGGCTCTGCCGAGCTCTAAGAACCTGCCCCAGCGGGGCAGGCAGAAAGTATGTGCTCTGCTGTTTCATCATTTTTCAACCAGAGGAGACACACGCTGTCTTCCGACAGTCCGTGTCTCGGCATATGATGATTCAAATAACAGTGACCTGTGAGAAGGCCTGTTAGACATCGTAGTTCATCCCTACTCTAGTCCAACACCTATTTGGTATCAAGGTGAATAAACGCCTTAGAGTGATCCAATCCTGGGAGATTCTGCCAGAAGTCCATAACTGCACATAATTCAATAGGGTAAATTTCCGCTTGAAATAAAGTCGCAAAGGTTCCTAGGCAGGTACGGACTAATATCTCCGATGTTAGTGAAGATGGAAAATAATTGGCAATAACATAGTACAAAGACATCTAATTCTTTATATATTTACAACTAATTTACCCTTATAGGGCATCAGGGGGTTGCCTTCCAAACTCTATATCGATATCAAGCTTATTTTGAAGACCTTGAAGAATCAAACATTTCTGCATAAACTAGAAGTCTCCACGGCTACTCATTTCTGATTGATGAAGAATATTGTTATTGAATGCCAGTTCGAAAATATTGGAGTCAACTTTCAAATTATGTCCTTATGTTTGAAGGAAGGAATTTCTGGTGTAAGTGCGCACACATCTGTGATTTGTTGATGTACTTCTTGCAAGTTTATTGGTTTTCTTCGAAATTTCCATTCCTTCACATAACCCTACAAAAAAAGTTAAGAGGAGCGAGGTCAGGGGTCATAGGAGTATCAGCAGATGTGTCTTCTTAACAGAACCATTTATTGAAAAGCTTGCCTCATCACTGAAACATATCCGATAGAGGTATATGATTTCACAAAGCTGCAGTCTTCGATCTAGGTCATCTTCATTTAGTTCTTGTACAAGATGGATTTTGAAGGAATGACATTTATGCTGTTTTAAACCTCATGCAGTGTTTATTTGCCTGTACCTATAACGGCAGTTATTGTGCGTACTGATGGTTTGGGTTGAACAGCAGTGGTACCCAAAACTTGAATTTGGAGCACTTCGGTTTTAATGGATGGGCGACCAAATCCTGGAACGTCTTTTACGCTGAAAGCTGTAGTGAATTGTTTCACAACACTTCTCACGTATTTAGGAAAAAACTGGATTATCTGGGAAAACAGCTTTAAACTATTTTGCGGCCTCATGATGATCTGAACTGAACTGAATCAACGGGTACTGCTAAATACAAAATCGAGATAGTTGGAAAATTTCCTGTAAAAAAAATCACAGTATGGGAAAAAATGAAAAAAATTGTTGGATAACTTTCTTTTATCGGGAATGAGATTATGGTGCAGACCCCTAATTCTGCAAAAATATTTATTTCTTCAAGGCCTTTAAAATGAGCTACATATCGACATGGGGTTCCATTGAAGATTTTGGGTGCACCTCCCTAATATCGCCCTTGCAAGGATGAAAAATTTGCAAATGTTCAGAGACAAGTAGATTTTTTTGTACATATGTAATTGCCATATGTAATGCCATTATTTCGTAGTGAGACTTCTAGAAAAAACTGTATAATAAATTGTCACTGGCCCTAAGAAATGCTGGAAACTTGTTTAAATGTAACAAAGATACCTATGATGGTACTGATTTCTAATAACTTTCACTAGATACCAGATGAGTCAGTTGACGATATTTCAGAGGTTTGAGTAGTTGGTTATTTTCCTTTGCAACTCTTCATAATTGTGTCTGTAAGTTGCATAGAAATGATTTTTATTCATGTCCCATTGAAATTTTTTTTTATATAAAATAAGTTTTCCGTCGTACTGGCTATGAATGTATTCCAAAGTACACACAGGTATTCACACTTGGTAACTTTCCGACGTCATCCACTCATATATATTCTTTCTGACGTAATAGATTTTTTTGACTTGCAGTGCTTTGTTTGAAATTGTTTCATTTCTGTCACTCTGTCATATTCGAAAATTCATCTGGCCTATACATATTCGTTTTCATCATAAAAAACTGAGAAAAAGAATAATTGCTGAGAACTGAAGGATGCAATCAATCAGAGAACCACTCAAATGAAAAACTTGATATACTCTTTATTTATTATCCTTCGTTATCATCAATTTATCATTTGCTACTCTGTAGCTATGAATGCTAACATACGAATAGACAGTATTATACACAAACGTACATTATTTAAATCCCATTCATATTGTGTTACCCTATTTTGTCAAACTCACCCTGCTCTAATTTTCCTGTAGACTTCGAACTGATTGTATCCTATACCTGGTATGCACAGGGTGTAATATAAGTACGTTGAAATATTCAAGTGACGTATTCCTGAGACAATCTTGAGGAAAAAAGTCTGTATAAAGTTTTTCCACTAAAATGGTTATCAAAAAATCATTCGTTTTCGAAATACAAATCGTTGATGTTTTTCCAAACATGATTATTTTTTGTCATAAGTTTTTCGCAATTTGAGTAATTTGTATATCGAAAACGAATGATTTTTAGATAAATATTTCATAAAGAAAAGTTGTTTAATTTGACCAGATTCACCACATACTTAGTTTTTGTGATGTTCTCAGCAACTTTATTTTGCTCCCTAGGAACTAAGTAATATACACCCATCGGAAAAGTCTAGGGATATTTTTAAAAATGGCATTATTTTTTTTAGATCGCTTTAGGGAAAAAAAGTTGACGGTTAATTATTAAACGAATGTAACTTACAACAAAATTCATTAAATGGTCAAAAATACTGAGTGCGCATATAAGCAAAACTAAAAAAAATATGGCTCTTCTTTGGCACCCCGAAAAAAAATCATAATACAAAAAAAATTGTAATCAGTACAAAGTATGACCTCCACGCTGGTTTATTACGGGCCTACATCTATCGTGCATCGACAAAATGAGATTGTCAATGTCTTGTTGAGGTACATTTGCCCATTCAGCGATTAAAAGCTCTCTCAATTGAAACGTTGTGTGAATGTTCCCCATATGCGGAGTAATTCTTCGTTGAAGCATGTCCCACACATGTTCGATGGGATTCAGGTCCAGTGATTGTGCTGGCCATGGCAATACATCAACTCCTTCGTTGGTGAGCCAGTCAGTCACTAGACGCGCGACATGTGTACGAGCATTATCGTGCATTAGGTGGGAGTTTTCACCAACAGCACCAGCAAACGGACGGACGATAGGTAGAAGAATGGTGTCGAGGTACTATCGAGCTGTGAGGGAGCGATTTGGAAAAACGAGATCGGTTCTGCCGCCGATCATGATTCCGCCCCATAGCATTACTGTACCACCTCTGTATGTGTGGACTTCCTGGACGTGTCTCAAATGTTCATTATTTCCACGTTGTCTCCACAGTCTTACTCGACGAGAATCTGGATGAAATCCAAATCTGGATTCGTCTGTAAACAAAACTGTGGCCCAATCATTTGCATCCCAGTTTTGATGTTCTTGACACCACTCTAATCTTCTACCGCGATTGCCTCTCGACAAAGGTGGACATCTAAGTGGCCTTCTGTTGTGGAGATCTGCTTCATGCAGTCGATTTTTTACAGTATCACGACCAATGGTTACCAATGGTTACCTTGACCAATGGTTACCCTACAGCTCTATTCATCTCAGCCAATGGTAAGTGATGGCGTTCCATGTTAAAGCACAATATTTCCAGTTTAATTACTGAGCAAGAACTGCATAGAATGTACAAACTCGACACTTTCAGATTATTCATTTTAGCCGAAAACCTACAGTAAAAAACTTGATAAAAGATTAGTTACCGTTTTTGCAGGCTTTGTTCAACCCATAGAAATCTACAGGGTGGTCGAGTGTACCAATTTAATCGAAATTAAAAGACCTGATGCATTTATTTTTATGATATTTAGTATGTTATAAAAATATCCCTAGACTTTTCCGATGTGTGTACATCGATATAGAAAATTGAAAATATTTCGAAACGATCACTTCTAGCGTTATTGAGGGAGTGTGCCTTTTTTCTTGGAAAAGGCGTGGAAATTAAGTTTTATCATGAAAAGTACCAGAATTTTACTGTCAGGGTTAGGGCAATTTGCAATAAATAACGACAGTGTACGTAGCGCCATCTAGATGTAATATGAAAATTAATAAGAAATTATAATTTCTCACGTCAAAAAAAAAACGAACAAAAAATATTCAATTTCAACACCCTGTTTCCCCAAAAGGCAGTATTTTTGGACACAAGTTTATACGGCCTTTTTTTTTAATTGTCTCAAGAATACGTGACTTGAATACTTTAACGTACTTATGTTAAACCCTATACATATATATGAAACTGACATGTAATATTTTTGATTATGTATAATTCTGACGAATAAATATTATTATTATTATTTCCAGAATATACAACAACAACGTGGAAGTCATACTGGGAGCTCACAACATAACCGCAAATGAAACCTCTCAAGTGCGTATCAAGGGCACTGACATAATTATTCACGAAAACTACGATTATACCAGCTTCCAAAACGACATAGCTCTAATCAGATTAGCCAGTCCTGCACCTCTTAATGATGTTATCAAAACAGTTGCGTTACCCTCACGTCGCGACAGAGGCAAGACCTACTTGAATCAAGAGACCACTAGCATCGGATGGGGCCTAACGGAAGACAAGCACAATCCGACTTTGAAAGACATTACCAGCACCCTGAGAGTGGTGAACGTGACTGTTATGGATTTGGACGAATGTGCCGATGATTATAATGACGAAGAAACTGGCGTTGTTTATGTGTCTGAGGTGAATATCTGTACGACCGGGTACAAGAACAAGGGGACTTGTAATGGCGACTCGGGTGGACCTCTTTTGTACAAAAGTAAACAGATTGGTATAGTTTCCATTGGATCAACGCTCTGTGAGATGTGCTCGCCTTCAGTTTTCACCAAAGTGGCTTGGTTCTTGGATTGGATAGAAGAGAAAACTGATGTAGCTATTTCTTAGCATATCTTGCCTTGAAGTACGCATATTTATTCACTGTATAAATTTCATTCTACGGTTGGGACCTTTCTTTCATAGCCTGAATCGTCTAAAAATAATATTTTTTTAAACGTTAAATAGGGATCAACCTGTATTTCATTAGTTCGGACTTCCGTTGTCTAATATGATATAAATTGATTTGTTATCCCTGAAATATTCTGTAAAAAAATTAAAAAAATATGTTTAGCCAAATAAATCTGAAATTACAATGAAATGAAATACATGCAACAACTAATAAATCAAAGAATTGAACTATTAACACGAGAGGAAAATTGAAAAAATTATTAACAAGACATGGAAATTAAAAATTAAAAGATTCCAAGCCAAGTTACTTCACGACGTTTCTATTGTTAGTATCCACAATTGTCTTCGGGTGATAACTGGAGTTATGCCTTCAAGATCTGACTATTTATAGGTCGTTCGAGTGCTTTCACCTATCCCCTCTTCCCTTCCACCGCTTCATCGGTTCTAGCGGGAGCTAACCGTTTGGCGGGAGTTGGACGTGTTCCGCTTGATTAGAGATTTCCATATGTTGCGTATCTCTACTTTAGCTTGGCTAAATGCGTGACACTAAACCAGTGTCCTCCTTGTGGATGATTTCAGCTTGAGCCCACTTGATGTTATGTTGAAGAGTCCAAACATGCTCTGCTATTCCTGATTTGCTGGTTTCTCTTCGCTGTGTGTATTTCTTCTGCTCGGCAATGCGAACTTTCAATGGCCTCTTAGTTTCACCGATGTATGATTTTCCGCACTCGCAAGGTATCCGGTAAATGCAATTCTTGGAATCGCAGTCCGCGTTTGGTGACCTAGTTTTTGTGAGGCTGCTACGGATAGTGTTCCCAGATCTGAAGCAGGTTTTAATTTTATACTTGTACCCAACTCTTCTTATCCGAAAATCCTCTGATGTAGGGAAGTACAAGTACTGGTTGTGAAGGCTTCTCTTCTTCGTGAGGCTCTTGCTGTCTTCTAGCTAAAGTCTGTTCCACCATCACTTTGGAGTAACTATTCTGTTGAAGGTCATTTTTTGATGATGCCTAACTCCTTTTCGAAACTTTCCTTTGTATTGTAGAGCCCGAAAGCATGGTCTACTAGAGTCTTGATGATTCCTCTCTTAGTCGATTGATGTTGGTTGTATTTCCGGTTCAGATACTGTCCCGTGTGAGTGGGTTTTTGGTATACAGATGTTTCCCATTTAGTGTCGGTCAACCTGGTCAAGGCTTTCGCGGCCGAGGTTTTCAGTATCACTATTTTCCGGAATTGAAGGCCTTGGCGCGAGTGGCTAGCTTACTCAGAGTTTTATACATCCTGAGTCATCAGAGATTTTAGCTCAGAAACATAGAATCTAGATGTCATCCACTTCGTGGTCCTCCTCTTCTTCCTTTCGGCATTTTCTTTTACATTATTCTTAAAAAACAAAGGTTACAGGTAGTTGGGATTGAAAGAGCACATCATTTAGAGCATTGTATGTTGAGCGTTAACATACTATTTTCATTACAACAGTTCTGGGCACATCATAACGTTACACTTGAGCTTTGTGACTTGAGCATTTTATCACTATGTAATTGAAATGAATAGAGGTACTAACGAATATTTGACTGTTTTTGTCTACAGTTACTTATGTTATTCAATAGATGTCGCTCACTTCGCAGACGTTCTCTTCTTCATTTCAGTGTTGTTCTTCAAGTTATCCTCAACAAATATACTCGTAATAGCAGGTAGTTGAGATTGAAGGAACATAAGTTCACCATGTTATTTTCAGTGCAACAGTTCTGAGTGCAATATATGTATTTTATTGCCATTGAACTTCGTAATTGGAACAGGTTTGAGCATTTTATCACTAATCAAAACATATAGATGTAATGAAAAAAGTATTTGAATGTATCTACGGTAATATATAGCAATTGATAATCGATGTTTTCCTTAAGTATGATGTTCAAATCAATAAACCTAGATGTCGCTCACTTCGTGGATCACATCTTCTTCTTCATTTCAGTTTTATCCTGTACGTTATTCTCAAAAAAGATAGCTACAGGTGGTTGAGACTTAGTAAGTATACCTTTTTGAGCATAGGAATTTTCATAAATGATTTGATCTTCACAAACTTCATTTTCAAAGAAACAGCTAAATGAAGCTACTGTGATTAAATTTAAAGTTCGGTGAGGTGTAGTTTATGAAATTACTTTATATGTTCATCTAGTAACGCCCGAATCAATCACAAAAAAAATTGTATATTGGACGTTGCAGGTTCAAAATGTTATTTTCATTGCAGTATGAAAACCGTTGCATCAGGGCTTTGTGACTTGAACGTACAGTTTTGAGCACTTTATTACTGATTAAAATACATAGACGCAACTAATATTTAAATTTTGTACCTAAGATTCGTTATAGCAATCAATAATCGATGTTTTACCCAAATTTAACGATTGATTCATCAAATCTAAATGTCGCCACTTCGAAGTCTTTCTCTTCTTTTCAGATTTCGGTATTGTCCATTACGTTAATTTCGAAAAACATAGGCTACTGCTGGTTGAGACGGTAACATCATTGCATTTTGAGTATTTAATATTAGGCACTGCAGTTCAAACATGTTATTTTCATTACATCATTTTATATCTCCTCTTCTTCCTTCATTTCACATTTTTCTTCTGTCATTATATAGAAGCCACAGGTGGGTGACACTGAGTAAAAATAACATTTTGAGTATTGGACGTTGGATGCAGAACAGTTCGTTCAATTCCATAGATCTGTTTTCCGTTCCAGTACAGTTAATTTGTTTGCTCATATTTCTCATGTCGGTATCTTCATCGTCAATTAACCCACAACAAATAGATATTTGTACACACAAGTATAATCCGTAGTCGATCACCTCATCGGACAGGAATAACTCCCGTCGTCATGGAGACCGCTACCCTTACACAATCACCCTCAAGATTTATACATTCTCGACGGATTGCGTGCCGGAGGGGCGAGAAATTTCAAGACAATCGGACGGCCGGCCGAGACATGCTAAGACTGAACAAAATACGAATATCAGAGTTTACGCTCTATTTTCTGGTCGTGTGGTTTCGTGCTATTATGTTTCTCTTGAGATACATAATAGTGTTATAGGGCCGCCTGAAATAACAACTGGGGGCATTTTCAGTTGGATTGTATTTTCTGTTGATAAAATTATTGGATAAGTTCAAATAATATTTATTGTAAATATATCTATAGACTCTCCAGTCCCCAGTCTTCATGTGTGCTTATTATGTTTTAATATACAGGCTGATTCACGGTGGATGGCACATGAGACGTTTCTGGTGAAACAGAAACCGGATAACTTTGAAAACTCAATGGAGAGCATAAAATATATATTAATTTCAATTTTTTTCTTAGGAAATCATGACTTCTGAAAATGCTGATATCTTTGAGTTTAGGAATACTATGGTACCAAAATTTGGTTTGAAGTTATGTGTTACTTGGAGACATGCCACGATTTAGAGTAATCCCCGTTACTTCATTAGAGCGTGGTAAAAAAATGCAGTTTTTTTCGTTTGCTTGAGAAGTGACTGAAAGTTGATTATTTCAAATGGAATACCCTGTGTATTATTACAAATCCAGAGAGCTGTTGTATATCATGCATATACCTAACTAGTTAAGTTTCGGACTTATGAACATTTATTTGTGAAAATGTCCTTTCAGAATGGTATTCCCATTCGGTATTTTGTAAACATACCATGATTCATAATCACTATGTCACAGTAACATTGACACATGGTCCCAGTAATATTGACATTTTCATTACTTCAGAAGTTTAAAATACCTTCAAATTGATGCAGAAAAACTATTCAAGCGATGTTCTCATGAATTCGTTTATTAGTTGAGGACAGTGTGAGAAAATTATCAGCAGGTCATGCAGAAACGAAAGATATTCAAATCTACCGCAAATGAACCTCAAAAATCAAAGTTGCTACTACTTTCTAATTATTGCAGATAGTTCATTTTCTGAGTTTGTTAAACTTTTTTTGAACACATTGTATTTTCTCTAACAAGAATTGTCAAGTTACTGTCATTGATATATGATTGATAAGTCAATTGTATTAAACTTCTTTTTGATATATTCGAGTTTGTTAAGTATTTTCATAGTTTCCGATCCATATTTCGTCCTTTACACGACGTATTCAGTCACCGGGTAGTTGAAAATCAGATGTGTGTTGTTACGTGTTCTTTGGAACGAGTTCCAATAACACGCTTCGTTTGACCGATATATTTTTCTTCACAGCCCTCACAGCTCATTTCATATATCCACGACTTTTCATTTTCCAACAGCTTGATCTTAGGGTTACCATAGATTCATTGAAATGAGGGAAACGTTTTGAAAACTAGTTTTACGTTCAACTTTTCGAAAATTTAATTCAATCCGTTAGTGCATCTCAGTTCATACTGATATAGAGACGTCCTTTCCTATCAACTTCGAAATATTGATGTCATGTAGTTTCAGATGATGTCATGAAATGTAGGGCACCGTTTTTTGTGAACCATTGAATTTTTCCAAGTCAATAATCCTAGTGCCAAAATTTTTATATAGTTGAATTCAATGCACACGTCAGTATCAACTAACTTTAATTTCAAATATCAACGATGCAATGAGCAGCTGCCTCATATTATTCACAAGCCTACAACAAGTACTGATCAAGATGAAGAATCTAGAGACTTTCGAGATGTATATAATGATCTTCAGGTCAGTTGACGACAAACCCATTTTTTCAACCGAATTGTCCAGGAGTGTTAACAAACGACTCAAATTGTTCAAAGTTTGGCACTACTACATTTTTAAGGTGTGTCGTTTGTAGGGGAGCAACAGCTGTTAATACGAAAACGTATTTTAACAGATTTTGAAACAGATCTTCAAGTAAATTTCTGGAATTTACATACAATATAGTGGTCCAAAACTCCCAGTGATAAAAATCGTATCAGGATTTTTATGCTCGCAACAAATGCAAATCAAGAATGTACCAAAGTAAGGAACTCTGAAACCACG